CCAGCTTTGACGGGTACCAGGAACAACACTTTGACGCCCAGTCGTCTTCAGGATGGCCTGCTGCAAAAGAGCCTTGGGACAGCAAGCTGACCGTGTTTATAGTCTGCTGGAGGGCATCGCGTCATGCACTCTTCAGGATTGGCAGGGTCAGCCTATGCCGACACCCAACTTTCAGCCAATGGGCTTCGTGGGCGTGGGACCATGTCCCGGCCCGATGCCGATGCCTATGGCCACTTAGCCACGACTTAGCAGCGACTCGTCACCTCTTTTTCGCTTCCATGGATTCGGCCGTCAGGAGATGGTTCAAGTGCCCATGCCGATGCCTCAAGAACCACCGAGTCAAAGCATGCCACCGCCGCCGGATGTGGGTTTGAGGCGCTTCTGTTGACAGTCGTGGTGTGGCTTCTTGTAGGCACAGCCGCAGTTTTCGGACTTTCATGGGGCTATCGGTGCAGGCCGTTTCGGCCTGCCAACCAGCAGCTTCCGTGGCGAAGAAACTTCCGAAGCATGCAAGCACGATTTAACGTCGGGCTGATCGCCCTGTTGCAGCGATCAGGTAGGGTTCATGTGGGCTTTCAGCGCCACGAGCTCTCTGAGGATCGAGCGCTTCGAGCTCCCAATCTGCATCTACCGGGCCAAGTGGCCCACAGAATTCTTGGAATGGAGGAGCACGGCTTTCACGGTATGCGTCTGTCTTCGAGTGTGGATCCCATCAACAGGATCCCCAGAGGAAGAGGGCCTGTCATTTGGACCGGGCCGCGGGGAAGAGCTACTTGTCCAGCCCGTCCTAAAGCCTGAGCTCACGCAGTGTCCCCATCTGCTTGATGCTCAGGCCATGCTATGGTGACGAGGGGCCTTGTGACTGCCGCTATTGTGAGCCCGGCGAGCACAGATCCAGACAGTCGAGGCAGGGATCTGATGTGTCTTGCGCTGCGAAGAATCGCCCCTGCGGCGCCCTCTCCGAGGCATTGGCGCTCCGGCCTTCGGTCAAGCGACTTGTGGGAGGCACCGTTGCCCTGTGGGCTCCTTCCGTCGGATGTCTCGGAGCTCCTGTTCCGCGACATCGTGCCAGAGGACTCGGACAACATGTCCGGCAAAGACACAAACTCGTGCAAGAAATGCAACTCCTAAACTGCGTCAAGACTGACCGGGTCTCGCCTTCAAATCTCAGATCCGAATCACCAGCCAGATCTGATCCCCCTCCCCCACCCCTGGGTTTTTTGCACTATAGTATGTAGTTTCAGTCTCCTTCCCGGGAAACGCAAGTGAAAGATTATGCTTTCACATACGCATGTGTCTTTAGAGATATTTCGGCCCGGGCAGTACCCGCTTGGGTTTCTTTGCCGCGGAGATAGCTGACTTGTCTGGCCCAATGTCGAGAACACAACGGATTCGTCACAAATGTGTGCAGGGCTGTTTGCAACAGTGTAAAACGACTCTGGATTGGTTTGCTGCTTAAGTAGATTTTGTTTTGCTCGCTGTTTTGAAAACTGTGCTGAATATTTCTGGGCGTTTAAGGTTATGTCTTCTTTTTCAAGGAGTGAAATGAGAATTTAGTAACATATTCTAGTTTGTAAAAAGAAGCTGCGTGGATAAACCTTCCGCACTTTCGGGCATGCACTTTCGCAGGCTGTTGGCAGGTTTTCTGAAACATTCCTGCGAAAGGTGACTAACACATGTTGGCACGTTCGTTGAGGAACGTGATCGTAGAATGCAGCCTCAGAAAGCTTTATGTTCGCTTCTTGCAATCAGCGCCAGAAATTTCATCCAAGCGTATCCCGCAACCCTCAGAACCATCATTGGCTGCGAAGCAGGAACCTGTTTCCAAAAGCCTTTTAAACCCTGTTAGGTGGGGGAATGGGGGTTGGATTTCTGCGGTTACCGAATGTCCCAAGCCTTCCATTGAGCTTGCTCCAACCAATCTCGCTGTGTCCTACGCATCGCATCCACGCCTAGCACCCAGGCCCCGCAAGCCAAAGTTTCGGCCCTGAAGAAAAGCTGTAGACGGTAGACATCAAACCTATATCCCACTCCACTCGGGCCCTCGTGTCCACGATAATCCGAGCGTGTCTGGTGCTTGCGGCCTCAAGGACTACGAAATGCTGCTGCAGTTGGATGATGCCGTGGAGAAGAGGGTGGCAAGCACAGAAGGCTTGGTTGTTTGAGATAGAACGCCGCATCGGGCAGCGGGGACCAAAGATTCTGCTGGAAGTGGAAGCCTGTAATGCAATGATGACAACACAGCTGTGCTACGCCGAGAGTCTCGGTGCAAGCACCTGTCGGAAGTCTTCGCTAGAAGGGTCAGGGCTTAAGGGGCTTAACCTGTGCAGGTGTGGATGCCTTGCCCAGTGCATCAGAGGAGGACTTCGCTGGACAGAACTGATGCTTGCCTTAAGACGTGACAAGTTGCAGCCGACTGTGTTTCGTGCCTTCACAGGGCAGTCTAGGGCAGTCTGTGATTCGTGAGGCACGGTATGCTTGGCGGCGCTGGAACGTCTTGATCCAAGCATTGTCTTGCGAAGCCACGAGTATCATGACGTGATACGAGCTGGCGTGCCGGCCACATCTTGCTACCGTCTCCAAGGTGATGAGGACATTGCCAAGCTCCCATGCACTCACGTTTTCCATCGAAAGTGTGTTGCCAAATGGCTTACCGAGCAGAAGCGGGCCTGCCCACTCTGCAACGAAGAGATTTGATTGCAACCACTTGGCAACCGTCTCGGCTGAACATGCCAGGCCTTGCAAAGCATTGCAAGGAAATTGTCGACATAACTTGTCGAGAACTTCTCGTGATGGCTTCGTTATGATGCCTGAAGCCTGCGTGCAGATCTTTGTGAGTTTGCGAAACTAGCTGTTAGCTATGGAACTCCTTGCGTTAGGTCTTGCAATCGGCGGGCTCTGTCTCACGCCACATTGGTGGCAGATCTTGGAGTGTGCTTGGACAATGATTCAAACTCCAGGTTACGGAAAGACGTGGCCTTTTCTTGCCTTTTCTAGGCACAGGTTCGCCGGGCCGCAACCTGCCAGAAACTTCCATGCAGCTTGGAAAGACATCCGGACCCAGTTTGTGACCGGATCTGCTGGTGTGGATGGTGTTCTTCAAGCGAACCGCTTGCATTGCAAGTGGCTTGTGCAAGTTGTGGCATATGCTGTGTGCTGAGCACAGCCATACTTGCACCTGCATTGTAAACAGATTCATGGCCATTTCTGACTGTATTTTTTCAGTCAGGCAGTTGTTGTACATACGAAATCGATGGGAATCCGAGTGCTGTCCCAGATAGCAACGTCCTGGGACTTGCCTGCATGCTTCGATGTGCCCTGCTCTGCCCTGTAGCTTGCACGATACCCCCACTCTACATGCTACGTGTCTTAACCAAGAGCCACATTACCATCGAGTTGTGTGTCAGCAAGAAGCACATCGGGGTGTTGCCACGACATGCACGGAGCACTCCATTTGCAGTTGCGTCCGGCTCTAAAAGAACTGAGCGGGCAGCGCAACTCAAGGCCACAGTGAAGACCTTGAAAACGCGCCAGGCCACATCTACAGTTGATGGCTTGATTTTGGTCCTGCGGAGCCACTGCAGCCCCCGCAGCGTGCTCTGCTGCCAGTCGAATCAAGCCCCGAACAGGATTTAGAGTGCAATGTGCTAGAAGCATTTGGCCGGGAAGACTTGCTGCTATGCTTCGACTGGCCGGTGTGTTGCACGGTTCCGAAGTCAGGGTGAAAGAGTGTTCCAAAGCAAGCATGGGGCACTGACGGGTTCTGTGCCCACAATTTCCTGCATTCCTGTCCCGAAGCCGCCGAAGCTTGCAGGAGCGGAGCATAGCGGAGCAAGAGGGCAGCTCGCTCAAGTCGCTTTGGACGAGGTGGAGCTTTTTAGCCGCCTGAAAGACCTCTCAGAGTCCTCGTTGAGGATTCGTCTTGCATGTATTCTGCCGGGATGGAACGATTCGGCGTGCCTTTGTGGATCCGGCCTTGTTGACCGACGAATGAAGCCTGATAATGGTCTACACTTTGCCGGCTCGCAAGAGACATGCCCCGATGCCCGACTCTCGATGATGGGGGCCTTTAAAATCGACTCCTGTTGCAAAGCGTTGTTGGACTGAAGACATGTAGGACAGACATGATGTGCAGTTTCTGCGTGTCCAGAAGACACTTTTCCTCACAGACTGCAGATGCAGCTTTCTGGACATTCCACTTTGTCAGAGCAAGTCACTGGTGGCATATTTGCAGGCTGTGCAAACGGTTTTGGATAGTAGGTCCCATGACCTATTAGATCTGCGCTCATGCGATGCGACTCGCAGAAATGGGATGCCCATTCGAGGGCAAGCCTAGACTCCGACTGCAAGCGCCAAGTTCGCACTGTCCAGGATGATGCCCTTGGTGTTTAGCGGGCGGCTTAGGTTCTGGCAACTCTGTTATCAAGTTGTCTTTGCTGGCACTAGATGCGGGATGACCGTTCCATCGCGTCTCAGGCCTTGGCATCTCGGAGCATGGAGAGGAATGAGAGTCAGCGGCATGCCTGTCCAGCAGTTGCCATCTTCGTTCAGAAATGCTCGCATCGCAAGAATCTTCGGACTTGCACGCATCTTTTTGGCAGCTGCCAAGTTTCACCACCTGCTGCGTCTGTTCTAAGAACATGGTGCGGTCAAGGAACTGTCTACGGCTTGACTCGTGGCCGATCTTTGTCACATGGGCTCATTTTCCATTGTCGCATGCAAAATTGCGGTCGCGAGCCGAAGTGATGGGAAGCTCATGACCTGACCGGGCATCGCCAGACTGAAGCGTTCCGGCTGCGTTGCCTCTTGTCTTGCCGGGCAGTTTGCAGGGTGAAGCTTCGGGGAGCAATCACAGTTCGTAGGAAGCTCATCCCTATATCCGCACTTCGCGCGCATCTTTGCGCTCTTACAAGCAACTCGCTAAGAAGAGCTAAGAAGAGAGCAAGCCAAAGTAGTTCCAGTGCGTCACAGCCCCACGGCATCCCACGGCCTCTGATGCCATGGTCGGAGCCCCGCCGCCCAAGGCCCGTTCTCACCGCCTGCTGCCGGCCCCGGGCTCATCTGAAGCACATGGGCCGCCAGGAGCACAACACCAGCAAAGTTCCAGCCTGGGAGGATGCACAGGCAGTGGCTGCGGCTGTTATGGCTGTTGCCGCTGTTGTTGCACTGGTCGAGATGATTCGACGGAAACCTCTGACAGGAGTTGGTTGCACTCGACCGCCTGCGGTTTCAGCATTTGCACCGAGTGCTCTATGCCCACAGGCCGAGCCGGACCAAACCGAGCAGACAGGTCTAGGCAGAGCTCTGAAATCTGCGAGGCAGCGAGTTGAAAATGCAAACTCCTATTATGACGCGCTGGGCTCGGTGGTTGAGACACTTGTAGCCATGCCTTGGGGTCGTCACTGTTGTTCAACTTGTCTCCACTTGTTCCAATTTTCTTGATTCGATTGTCTCCCATGCTCATGATTACATCCAAGATGTAACACGAATCTTCAAGCTTCAGCTTCTGTTAAAATAGTGTACTGCCAGACCACCGCTCCGTCGGATTAGTTTCACAGCTGGAGAAGAACGTCTTGCTAAGATGCTCGACGCAATCGTAAGAGGCACACTCCGACCCCAGTCCGCACCAACTCGCAGCCGGGAAGCTTCATGACGGAGCGGAGCTAATGTGCTAATCATTACTGATCTAATGCAGAAAAAACTGCACACAAGACTCGCGGGATGCGCATCAAACTGGCGAACCGAGTGGCGGCTGAGTGTTGCGAGGTCTTCGAGACGGAAAGGCAGACCGGCGTGTTGCTCGCCCGTCTTTGGCCCGGTCTCTTTTGCCCAAGATCAGGGGCAGATACTTCGAGAACTCAGGCTCAGAGGCCATGCGGATCTCCAGGGCAAGGCGGAAGGAAGAGGAGCTGGCGTGGGGAGACATGTTTGTCTCGCACACATCGCTTCGCTGATCGCTGCATCTAGGAAACCGACAGTCTCAATCGCGACAATCAGCGATTGGTCGAACGGCTGGGCGCTGTCGGAGCCCGATTTCCGCATCCAGCAGAATCTAGAACGACACAGAGCTCTATGCGATTGCTTCAGAAAGCACAGTGTAAATGCCCAGGTGATGCGTGAGTCCGAGGGCCGACGGCGACAAATACTGGCGCCCAAGCCGCCGAGCTCTGCCCCAGCAGGCAAAGTGATCTCAGTGTGTCTTGTACAGACTAGGCCGGCTGCGTCTCCAGCTCTGTCCAGGTTCCTTGAACTTGACGTTGCGGCGCAAGGCTGCCCGACAAATTGACAAGGACGACAGCGAGGTGATTGAAGAAGTAGCAACGCTCAAGGCAGAGCCTCTAATGTTGGAAACGACGATGCACTTGTAGCGTTGCATCTTCCATGCTAAGGCTGCTAAGGAGTGAGGACGTTCATGTAGGTCAAGGCCTTCTTATGCCATCCTTGGTCCTGCCCTAATCTCCGCCAGTCGGTGGCCCCACACTACCTGCTTAGCAGTCGCAGTCGGAGCATCAAGCAGCAATATACGTTTGCTACCCGCTTCTCCCACATTGCTCCTTGTTCGCAGGACAACAAAGTCCTGCTAGACAGACTGGTTCGTGCCGGGCTCAGAGACTTTCACCACGGCCAGGCTTATTCGCGCGTAGTCAGTAGTCATGGATTTGGCAAGCTGTCGCGAGAAAGAGAGAGCGCAAGATGCACCTGCGTCCCGGACGGCCTCATGGAATCCATGAGTGTGCAAACGTCCGTGCGCATATCTCGATCGCTTTGCTATGCGAGGCATTGGGCCAACAGTCAGCGGGCGTGCCGAACTTGCATCTCGATATGAGGCGTGAGAGCCTTCATGAAGCCAGACATCAACATGTCATCGTCGGATCCTGCACCAGGTCTACACAACACTTGTGAACAGGCCAGGCCGTGTTGCTTGAAAATGTCGGTGCCGGTATGCATGTTACCTGTCTCTACTGATGGGTACTCGAAAAGCAGGTGTGTATAACATGGGAATAAACTTGTGTGGCGGTTCCCAGCCTTCAGTTACGTAGCGAAAAGCAAGAAAATGTTCCGAAGGCGCAACGGATGTTGACACAGGTATATAGTTTCATTGTGTTGTAAGAGAAATCCGGGGGCTGCACCTGTGAAAAGACAAGCTGATTTCGGGCCTCGATGTCACAGCTTTGGGCACGAGTGTTGAGCCGGGAAGGACGGTGAAGCTCGGGGAGGGCTTGTGAGAAGCAAGCATCAGTTGGGTCGATCAGGGGGTGGGAGCGCGATACGCGCTTTTCTCAAGAGCGTTTGACCGTATGACGTGGCAATCCTGGTAATCGGTATTCAGACTGGTTTTCGATCGTGTTGAGAAGTTGTGTTGTTGCCCATAGCTTGTCTGGTGATCATCTTGGTATCGATGTCGAGATTGAGGAGTTCGCCGGAGGTTGGCCACGGGCCGTCGTCCAGTCAACATGCGAACTTTTCTGGTGACCCATGTGTCTCTGGGCCACTGGCCCGCCGCCCCACCCCCCCCCTTCCAAAAGCCCTAGCCCTACTCTCCAGTCCCCAGCTCCCCCCAGCAGGCGCCCAGGGCTCCCAGCGCCAAGTTCAGAGCGATCTCCCAACTATACATTTCGTGTTTCACGTGCGTAAAGATCCAGTTTTCCGGATCAGTGTCTCAATGAACAAACACCTGCAAAGTCGCTCAACACTAAACACATTGGACCGCCTTCGGCCAAACTCCTTGTCATGGGGCCGAACGCCGCACACCATACCAAACCACCATGGAGTCACTGCATGGCTGCCGCACGAGTGTTTTTTTGTTTTTTGCTTGGTGGTTTCTGTTTGTTAATACTGTGGGCTCTAATGGTCTCTGTAGCCTTAGAGGGCAAAGACGAGGGATCTGCATGGTATCTGGGCGGGTTCCGCTCTTGTCTCGCCACACTTCTTTTGTCGAACCAGCGCTTCATACCACTTTCCGTGAATCTCGACAGAAGGATACGCGCTAGACTATGGTTGGAACATCTGCAGCCAGAACATCTTCAGCTTAGTAAAAGGGATCGTCAATGAACTCGCAACATGCTACTTGACCTAAGCATGGGGACCTTAGTGTTTTCCGCCGCTCTGAACCCGGAATTTTCAGACTGGATTCGTGGGTGAGGGGGGCAAGTGATCGGACGTCGCCCAACAGATACCATGGGATACTACCACTGAGGATACAACCCTTTGTTGCCTGTTGATGAGGCACTCCAGGCTTCGACGCACAGTCAGCAAGGCAGACGTTTTCAGGACCTGCTTGACACGAGCATGGCGTGCTAGATTGTGGCAAGGATCTGTGAGAGAACGCAGCGAGTGCAATTACGAGTAGCGGAAGCACACGAATGACCATTCGGCAACAAAGGCAATTAATAGCACCGAGCCGAGTCTCGTCGAGGCGGTGCTGGTTTGGAAGCTGATCATCTGGACGAAGTACATAAGCAAAGGATGGAACACAAACAGTGGCTGGCATGACTGAAGGCCTTTCAATAAAGACTTGGTCAAACTCAAGGTCACTGCTGTTCGGGATTGTGCAGGACACCGCCGCCGCCCATCAGGCAGCCTCGCTTTCGAAAGCCAAAGCGAGCTACAGCAGAGGCGTCGCCGAGAACAGAGGGGTGCCGTGGCCCTGAACAGACGATGGCGTTTTCAGGCGCCACTGCTACCCCTTCCAGCCGTCGTCAAATCCGCCAAGGAGGCCGGTAGCCGTAGTCAGCTGCAGTACAGATCTATATGTACTACGGGTAAAGGTCGTCTGAGGCCCGGGGTGCTGTGCTGCAATTTCAGCTAGCCGGCCAGCTCGCAGAAGGAGCCAGCTCCTGATGCACGGCCGGAAACTCCGGAGCCGCTGCACAGCGCGCGGAAGGCTCCGGTCGACCTTGCAAGCACGTGAGTTGCATGATCTTGGTCTCGTGAGTTGTATCTCCGAGCAGTCGAGGCGGCGCAGAAAGAAGTGGAACTCGTGGGTCAGCATGTGTTGAACAGACTTGCTCCCGAAGATCTGGACGGCCATGCTGATGCTTCAGGCACTGTAATGGCTGTGTCATTTATGTCGCAGCTCCCACTTCCTGCATTAGGCATGACACCGTTCTGGATTGCATTGTAAGGCACCCAGAAGACCCGCGCAGACACGCTGGGAAGCGGCACATACTCTGAGTATGACTTCGACAGCGAGGCAGACGCTGCACCCATGCGGGAGAGAGAGAGAGAGAGAGAGAGCTAGAGAGAGAGTGGGGGGCCTTACCGGTTCGCGCTTTTTCACACCTGGTCGGGCCCATGTGGCCGGCGGGCCTGACTCGAGAGAGACGGATAGCGAGTTGCAGCATGTCGTGCAGTTGGTGAGCCATTTCTGGTGTGCAGCAGTTGTTGCGTCCTACACCGGAGGCAACTCAGCCACGCAAGGTAGGAGGGATAGTTAGCATACCAAGATGCGGCGACGAAGCTCTGACCCTCTGCCGCGCCTCATGCAGCGATCGCGGCCTGAGACAGTATGTGCTAACACTGTATGAGTCTGTTGATTGTTGCCGTAGAGGGAGCTCAGCCGATAGCATGGGGAAATCACGAATTGTGCCAGTGCTTTGAATGTTGTCCCTGACATCTGAGACCCAGAAATGCTCTGGGGGCCCACGCAGACCGCACTGAAGCTGGAGTACTTTGCGTGGTGCTCGCATGGGGATGTCTATGAAGGTTGGTGAAGTCGAGTCAAGCTGTTAAGTTACTTGGCCGTGGCCTCAGGCTAGCAGACACAAGGCACTCACACACCACGGGGCAGAGGGGGGCAATACGCTTAGTCTTCAGGCGGATGCATGGTACCTAGGTTTAGGTGGCTGGAGTCGGAAAGCCGGTGAGTGCGTCTGCCTCTGTCTCAGTGTCCGAACCTGTGCGGGGCGCGGCGGCCGCTCTGACAGTCCTGCTGAAGAGAGCGAGCGAGCCCGAGTGAGCTGTCCGTGGGTGAAAAACCGACATCAGCCCATCACCGAGCGGTGGCGTGAACGCCGCACAGGGGCGCTCGCCTAAGCCCTGCGCAAGAAAGCAACAGTGCGCGCTCGCGTGCCGGAAGGGTCACGAGCCCTTCTTGTCTGTGTGAAAAAAGAGGCCTGCGAGAGAGCGAGATAGGTCTGAGAAAGACACTGGTTCTCCAATGTCTGGAAGTTGCCGTGCCGGTGAACGGATGCCCACAGTTGGCAGGACGCAGATGCCCGGAGCGGAACACCGGAGCCAAAGCGATCTGCCAAGCAGGCGTGACTTTTTCTGGTCGCGTCCTATCACACCTTGCTCCCCACTCCCGTCTTCGCTTGAGGCGGCCCAGAACGAGCTGGAGCTGGTCGAGAAGAAGGTGCTTCAAAAGATCCACTCGGAAGGAGCTGTCGGCGAGGTCGTCGCAAGCGGTGCAGCCGCAGCCGGCGCCGCCGTCGCAGATACAGGCGTCTTTCCTCACAAGAGTCCACAAGAGTTCTGCCGCTGAACATGCTTTTCTCTTCGTGCACTGGTTGACGTCTCTCAACTTGCAGATCCTGTTAAGGCGCATCATTCAACGCTGGCGGAACATACTCAGACTTCGAAGGAAGCGATGGCGAGGCACGACTTCACGGCTTGAAGTACTCGTGCTATCAGAGACTCAGCATTCAACCGATTGTCAACACCAAGGCGCGCGCCGCCGCAGAATCGCAGGGAGAGGCGCCCGCAAGCCTGAGCCACACACCGCTGATCCTTTGAGTAGTCCTGCTGTCCTGTAGCAGGACTCTGAGTATGAGGATGATTGCGAAGCAGAGGATGCCTACAGTGATACTTTCGAGGTTGAAGATGCAGATGAAGAGGCTGAAGACGCTGAGAGTGAGGCTAACAGCCCCCCTGACAACATTGCCGGTAACATCATCGGCAACATCGTTGGTAGCGTTTCAGCTGCGGCCGATCCCCAAGAGACAGGCCCCGCAACAGGCCACGCGATCAGCGAGCCTTCGGACTCCGCCAGCCGGTACTCAGAGCCGGAAGAGGCTCCGATTGCCGAGGCCGAGGAGCCCGAGTCCGAATACTCGGAGAATCTCGAGGCAGAGGCAGAGGTCTCCGAGTCCGACAGGGACAGGCCCGACAGGCAGGATGGAGGCGGTCGCTACTACACCCCCAGCGACGCATCTGATCCGGATGCTGGCGTCGATGTGCGTCAGAGCTTCTTGGCTCAACGCCGAGGGCACCAGCGTTCGCAGGGTACTAGTAGCCAGGTGCAGCGTGATACAGCCTGACCCCAGGCTCCATCGCTAGTTATGATGACGACGGCATTCTCGACGAGGACTCAGGTGAGTTGCGAGCTGAGCACTGCCATGGATCGGCACAGGTGGTTTATCTTCCAGACTCGTTGCATTCCCAGCGATTTCAAGCTGTTTCAGGTCCCTGCATCCACCAGGAAGATCTGATTGATGTGCAGCCGAAGTAAGTCTGTGGGTTCTTGCTCGTCGAAGGCTTTCACCTGGGTAGCAGGATAGGACACTGTTTCACCCGGTTGTTTTCGCGGTTATGCAGGCGCATGGGAAGTGTGCGCTGCTTTTTAGCGTTTCGTTTCCGAAAACCGGAAGAACGGACTCCAAAGCCCTGGCAGCTGACTGTGTTCGCCCCGAGTTACATGCAGTCTACGTTGTATGGCTACGTGCATCGGGTGATCGCAGAGCTCCTGACTCGTGCCCCTCACACATCTGCAAAATGTCCGGAAACAAGGGCTGCAGAACCACCAGACTCAAATTGCCCGTAAGAGGGGCTGGGTGGTGGCATGTTGGAGGCATGGGTCAGGCGGCGCCGTGTCGGTGTTATCTCTTGCAAGGAAAAGCTCATGATGCCAGCTGATCCGAAGCTATCTGAGGTACATCGGTTGTGTTCCGCACAATGCATCAACACAGATGACGATGGGCCGTAGTTTGGCTTCAAACCATGAACCAATAAGCACTGCAGCCGAGACCCACTGTTCCAAAATGGAGAACCGTGGATGATGAGCATTTAGTCTTGGATGAGGCGCAACTGATCCGAGACAGAACGGCAATTCGTCTTGCGCTAACGTGCGAAGCTAGCAACCAACCCTGTTCCCCGAGATCCTGCTCTCCACAGTTCGTTTGCATGGTCTCCGCGCGCCAATTTTTACTGGGTGCCCTGTTGGCATTGGGGCTGTCAACCAGTGCAGAAGATCCTGGCTTGTTGGCAGAGGCTGGAGCGGCTGGAGGTTTCTGTGGCGTATTGACCCGAGCCCTGGTGCAGGTCGCGCGTCTCAAAGCCGAAGTCGAGCGCCTCAAGGTGCTATCCGCGGTTGCCTTGCGGTATGTGGTGCTCCTTGCCAGTTTGCTCCGCCCGCGGGCCTGAGCAAGTCGGCAATGCTTCATATCGATTTGGATGCCGGCATCTCGCTCGCCATTTTGTCTCGAGCCTCTCAATTGGAGAATTCCATCTTGCCAAAACTCTTTCGGTGAAATTTGTCGCGATGCCCTTAACCTGCTCACAAGCAATGGCACACCCCGCTCTGACAGTCTGACGATAGGGATGAGCTGCAGGACACCCCAATCAGTGCATCTATCATCATGAGAATCATCAAGATCATCAATGTCGCCATGACCATCGTCACGCATCATCATGTCCAGATACCTATAGGCCCAGACAGTGGGAATCGATAGACTGCTGCACCGCTACATCAACGCATGGCTTGCCTGCGACTAAGTCGTTTGATTTGCTGCCTCTTCCCTGGTCTGCTTGTTGTGAAAGGATTGAGTTGAGATTGGGCGAAAGTGATTCATTTGAACCTTCAGCGGGCATGGGCTCGAGCCTTGTGCCTGTAGCGAACTGCTGTCTGCCCTGCAACCCCTTGGGGCAGAGTCCAAGATGGGAAAACCCGATACCAACGCCTTGGACTTTGGCTTGACTCCATCAGCGACCGGGGCCACACCGACCATCCTCACGCAGCCACAGTATGCACCTCCGACAAAGACCGACTTGTCTTGGACACTCTTCATGATCTATGCGTGCAGCTTCTTGGAGGGTGCAGACGTTCAACTTCTTCCGGCATCCTACCGGGCCATTGAATCAGAGCTTGGGCTTTCGCCCAGCACCTTGGCAGCCGCGAACTTGTTCCAGGGCATTACCCTGGCAGGATTCTCAGTTTTCTGGGGCGTGCTCTCCGACAACGGCATCCTTGCTCCCCATCAAATTCTCTACGGAGGTTGCACGGCATGGGGCATCTTGACACTCTTAACAGCCGCGATTAACGACACTAGCTGGATCCTTATCATCAGGCTCTTCAATGGTGTCGCGTTGGCAACTCTTTCTCCTACCACGCAGTCCTTGATCGCCGGCGTAGCCCCACCACAGGAGCGAGGTCGCTACTTCTGCTGGCTCGGCTTCATGCTTGGCCTTGGCGCGATGTTTACAGCAATCCTGACGACAGCGATCTCTAACATGGTTTTCTATCCTGGCATCAAAGGATGGCGCGTGGCATTCGCACTCATCGGTGTGGTGAGTGTTGTTCTTGGGCAATTTGTTAAACGCTTCGCCGTGCTCCCAGCTGATCTGGCGCAGTGGGAAGAGAAGATTGACAAGGAGAAGAACGAGCCAGAGACGCCCGGTCGGGAGCCTTTGAGCTTCAGCAACGAGCTGAAGACGATGATGCGCTTCTTCGAGGCAAGCGTTTTTTCATTGAAGTTGAGGGCAAGAAGAGGCCCACAGGGCCCAACTCACATTGATAGAAGTTTGAAGCTGTCGCACCCGTGAAGGTATGGTCGTTTTCTGTCATCGTTCTCCAGGGCTCTTTCGGATGCATCCCTTGGTCTGCCATGGCCTTCGGGACAATGTTCCTGCAGTACAGTGGCGTTTCCGATCTCACCGCAGGGTGCATCTCCAGCGTCATGCTCTTGTGCTCGTCCTTTGGAGTGTTAATTGGCGGATATGTCGGGGACCACATGAATAGGTCCGGTGCTCAGAAGGGAACAGGCGACCGCCACTCGCTCTCTTCCTTGCACTCTCCGTTTCTTCTTTTGCTTACAGAGGTGGAGCCGATTTCATGGCCGGCCCTTCACTGCTCAGATCGCGACTGGAATCGCCGTTCCCACAGCCGTCATCTTCTACTCTGTCTTGCCACGCAGTCCTGATCCACGCCAGAATCTGGCAGACGACCCAAATGTGCGTAAGCTAAGCTGTGCTTAAGGGGCCTCATCATGCCAGATAGCCCGAGGGTCTCTGCTTCATCCGCAATCTAAGGACAGTGTGGGAGCTTGGTTCCTGCTCGTGATAGTCTTCGGCCTCGTGTGCACCTGGTCAGAGTTCGGCGTGAACCGACCTATTTTGACGGAAGTCGTTTCCGTGAAGCATCGGGCTAGGCTGGGATGATGCGTGAAGATGCAAGTCTTGCATGAGGGTGTCTGCATCTCGGTCTTGACAGGATTCTGGGAGTGATGTGTGCCATTGCCGGCTCTGCTGGAGCGATGGGTGGGCCTTTAGTCGCCCTCATCTCCGAGCAGTGGTTTGGCTACAAGACACAGCACCGTCCTCTCAGCGAAGTGCCCGAGGACCAGAATTGGGCGAAAGAGCAGTAAACGATGTCTGTAGCCTCTAGCCTGACGCGGCGATGGAAACGCAAGCTTCAGACCGCAATGCAGGTCCATCCCAAGCCCCTGGCCCCTTACACTGGAAAGGCAGGCATAGGCAGGCCCCCACGCGAAACTCCCATCACTGGAAGTATGAATACTTCTCACTGCACCGGCGCCAAAATGCAATGCAGATTCGATTGAAGCCAGTACCAGACATCCGACATGCAGGACGTCCGCAGGCATAACGTGAATGCATTGGGACTGGGTCTCACGGTGATGCCTTTTGGTAGCATTTTGCGACGCTTTCGGCTTTCCAGTTCGGGTGAAAGCTAGCCTCGTGATTTCAGGTGCGCAGTGCCGTGGACCATCTGTTTCCTGGCCTACGGCGCACTACATTGGACCTATGAGGCTGATCTGTCCAAACTTCACCGCTTCGATGTGCAGACACCTCTGAACTCGAAGAGGGCAGGGTCGGATGATGAAGAATGGCTTCATGAACCGCCGTTTTGGGTTGGTGGCAGTCCATAATGACCTGCTGGAACCGGCAGCAGGCTTGTTTCGCGCCACTCTGGAGACCGAAATGCCTGTCGAAGGAGAGTGTATCTTTTCGTGTGAATATCTTCAATCTTCACCTGAGATGGCAAGCTTGCCCTGTGCTCACTACGCGAAACGAGAGCTTGTACCTTCTTTCGGAAGGTGTCGCAGAAGAATCATAACTCCTGGGTCGATCTCTAAGTTTGCACAGACTGCTCACAATCCGAGGCTGCCGAAAACGAATGGTGAGCGGCGTCTGAACTTCCCACGGCTGAGTTTTTGTGGGCAACAAAAGGACGCGAGCTGTCCGGGCTGCAGAACCCTGCAAGGTGCAAGAAAAAGTCAAAGGCGCAAGGATGGACTTTCACTACTCTCCGATTCCTGCGCAGGCTACACAAGCTCCAAATCCTCCGCCACAGTTCGGGCCGAGAACCTAACCTTGCCGTCGGCACAAGTCAATGGATGACTGGAGTGTGTTGGGACTGTTGGGAGGTATGGCCAGGCTGGCCAGCCATACGGACACCAGGCCGCAGGGACCTTTGGTCAACCGGTCAACCCGGGCTTCCAGGGCCAGCAGGGCCAGCCCTATGGCCAAGGCGGTGCGTACAGCTTCGGGCAGCAAGCTCAGCAAGCACACGGAGCCTACTCGTATGGCCAGCAGCCAGGCTACGGCCAGGCATACGGTCAGCAGGCATACGGCCAACAACCGGCATACAGCCAGCAGGCTTACAGCCAGCAGGCCTACGGCCAGCAGCCGGCATATGGCCAGCAGCCGGCATATGGCCAGCCAGCGCAGTACCAGGCACAAGGCTATGCCGGGCAGAACTACGCTTACAATCAGCCCTAAACTTGGAGAATGTCGTGTGGCATGGTCTTCAGTGCAGGGGAACCTATGGCGTTCTCGGCTAAGGCCTGAGCAGGTGCAGCGATCAGCCGCGGAACAGCTGGAGGCGATGTGCGGATCATGTGCGGATCATGCCAAGCGCTAGTAGGAGCAGATCCCTGAAGGCACTCCGGCAGTCGTTCGGAAGTCTTGGCACATCCCCATCTGCCACTTTGACGACATCTCCAGGTGCGCACGCACAAAGTTGAGGAGCAGAGTTGTTCATCCTCTTTGTTTTCGCACGCGATGCCAGTCCATCCACCTTTGTTTATCCCTATTGTGGGATTGTCTCGGTTGCTTGTCTGGGTGGGCCATTGGAGAGCGAAAGCCCGCGCGTTCGCTAGCCCTTCTGTGTCTGGAGAAACTGCATTCTTGTGTCCTTGTGGGCGCCTGTGTGTTTGTGCCGTCTCGTCCACTAGCTGAGCTCCACTTCTCCGGTTCTGGCTGGATCGTGTTTGACGATGTTGCGGGTTCACGCTTGCACAGGCAGCCTGATTTGCTATGTTTCTGTACTACTCGCGATCCTGCTTAGGTTTCCACAATTCGTTGCCGCGAGCGGCTAGCTAGCATGCCACCCGTGCCAGCTCCGATGGCCGATGCTTGCGCCTCCAATCCCCTGTTTGCAAAGTTGCCGCGAGCCCACAAGCTTTCGCTGGGTTTCTTCACAAGAGCGGTGTTAGCGGTGTCCAGAGCTGAAGGCACAGTGCGCTGCAGAAGCTCGCCCTTCTGGAGCAGGACCCTGTCGAGGCACTGGTTCCTTCTGCACGGCGCCGTGGACTGATCTTGCGAAGCCAGGCATCGTATCAGATTCACGAGGCATGGGAAGAGCCCTGGGCTTTGCTCTGCTGTCCCTCAACAGTGTCGAGTGTCGAGCACAGACCCGGAACGTGACCGCATTTCCAAGGAACCCGGCATTGTTTGATGCATGCCCGGCTGGGGTGGTGACTGCTTTAGTATATCTTTCCATAGCTCAGGACCGGCACGCCGCTTTGGTTGCTAATGATTTCGGTCACTTAAGCTGCAGGACAGAGACTGGAAGTACCGACTTCTTCACCGAGCCTGGCCACTCAGAGCTGCCTGAAAACAACAGGTCCTCAACACTTTGACCTGCCTTATCAGCGAGCTCCTGACATCAGTTGGTTGCCCCGCATCCTCCCCATGGGGAAGTGCTGTTCTCATTGTCCCTCATGCTGCTTGATACTGTACTCTGGCAGGAGTGGAAGACGGGATGTCTGGGATTTCTGCGGAACGAGCAAGTAGTATGATTTTGCAGCTGAATAGCAAGACTACGCCGCTGGCTAGCCCACGTTGATCTTCTCGGTGCTCCTTTCCTCCTCCTAATTTACCATTCGTCGAAGCACATTCGGGCCGAGCCGGTGCGATCATAAACGCGGTTTGACAAGGGCAATGTCCTCAAAAGCAAGCTTTGTGCAGCAGTACTGCGTGGCACTGGATAGCAGCGGCAGTGGAAAGTCTGCAAGGTGATAACCCCGGAGCTGCTGTCGGAGTGGGAAGATGCGCATGTGCACAGCACCCCTGCTGTTGCTGTGATGGGACCTTGGGGCGACCCCGACTGTGCACCTGGAAAGAACGGACATTTGCGATAGAATGCAGCTAAACGATAGCATTCTGCGGACTGCACGGTGAGCACAGCGAGACAGAGGTTTGCAAGGAAGGTAGCATCCCAGCAAGCCGGAGCGGCCCTACCACTGATTTCCGAGGCAGAATCTGCCACATGCATTGCAAGCCGGAGAAACCGGATGGTCCAATATCTGTGATCCGCTTTTGCGACTATCATCGAGGTCGAGTGAACTCCCTGAGTGTTTGCCGATCCTGTTCACAAATACATGAAGACGAAACCACGCGGGAAGTGAAACGAGAAGCCTGCCAAATCCCTTGTTTGCTAAGGCCACCTACATGCTCTACGCAACGCCCGGGCTCATGTCCAAAATGGCCGGGCCCTCTGAATGACAAGTACGAGGGCGAAAATGCGACGCAGCTCTTGAGTACTTGCTAGCTGGGATACTCGGCCAGGAGTCCGGCCGCTGGCCGATGTCGGATAGGCAGGACCTGCCGTGAGGCATTGGCTCAATCAAGCTGCGGTGTGATGTGGCAGGCTGATTAGAACCATGTACCACAACTCCGAAGTGCTGCTCAAAGTCACACGGAGGGCCATCCCTCGACTGAGCCCTGCCGCTGAGGTTCTGGGTAAGCAGCCCTTGAGACTGGCTGAAGTTGAGGCCTAGCCTGGCTTTTGCTTGGAACGGGAACAAGAAGTGCAGGCCTGAGCCGCTGTGCGCTGCAGGTGCAGCCTGGTCAAACAGCAGCCTCTCCGGCCAGGAGCCTCAGAAAACATCCTTGGTAGCTGAGGGCTGTCAGGGCTCAACCGGGCTCAGCTCCGAGTCCGAGGCAGGTGGTCCTGGCATGGGCGAGGCCGTGGACCTCGGAATGAGGCCCTCAGTTCTTCTCACCGGAGGCTGCGTGCCGCTGCTCCCGGCTTTGCCCTCTTCAGACACCGGGACTCCGTGCCGGTTCATTTCACCACGGTCCTGTTCTATCATTTCTACCATCAGGACGACTTGCGAGTTTGGGGGGTTATGGGATTTGAGGCCGTTCCCGCAATGGTGCCCTGTACGGTGTTGGACGCACATTCATGCAAACGTGATGTGCAGCACATGGGCGCATTTACGTGTGAAGCCGTGGATACTTGATAACAGTAGCTGCCGCCCGCAAGCATGATGATTTCTATTTCAGGGCTCTCGAGACTGTTCGATGCGTCTTCGAGATGGTTAGAGCTTGCCGGGTGTGCTGAGAATCCCAATCTTCATCGGCATGGCCCGATGCAAGTCTCTTTGGGTCGATGCAATGCCCCAGTCTAGACCTTCCAGCATTTTGTTGCCATATTAGCAGCAACAGCATGGCAGATCTTTCGGTGTTCTTCGCTTTCTGGAACACTAGAAAACACAGCAGCGAAGTCTAAATGATTTTTTGCGTGCGCGAGGAGCGATCTCCATGTGCGTGCCGCACGCGTTCTTGGTGTTTGCCGTTCTGGACGAGGCAACCTGCTTTGTAGGGTTTGTACAGGAGTCTCAGATCCGAAGATGGAGCATGTGGTGGAGCATAGTGAGTCGTGGTAGCCGAGGATTCACCTTCGTCCCCTCCTTACGCCCACACACGGAGATAAACGCGCACACCACACAGACAGGGAGCACAGCAAGAGAGAGGGAGCGAGAGAGAGAGAGAGAGAGGGAGAGAGCGAGAGCGATAACGTGCGGGAAAGGCTGAACTCGCAGCTTTTCTTTGTCTGATTTTGTCTGTGCTGAAGGAGAGCGAGAGTGTTTTTGCTGCCCTCAAGCCTGGTGAAAGAGTAAACTGCACTGTACTACTGACTCAGACGCCAGCCACTTGGGTTGTGTGAAGAGTCAGCTTTAACTCGCGAGCGAAATTCGCCGACGACGAGCTAGCCGGGAAGCAAGAACGTGCCTCCCTACCAGGGGGTCGGAGAGGAAGAGGGAGGGAAGAAGGACCTGGTGTTGCGCCAGGATTTGCAAATGGAAGAAGGGAATCTTGTTGCCCACTTAGCTGTAGCGAAGAAGGGAAGAAGGGCACCTTTCGACCAAAAGCGGTGGCCCAGGGGCTGCTTGTACAGAAGAGTATCCTTCTGGGTTGGCTTCGGTGATATCCAGGCTTCGACCCGACCCGCAGTTTCAAAATGCAGGGTCAGCTGAGTTCTCTCAGTGCTCAGATGGCTGAGACAAAGGCGAGTTCAATAATTCAACGAACCTTGCTTTTAGCACTGTACACACCAGCAAGGCTTGTGGTGCGACAATGAGGCTGCACCAAATCAATATGCTGGAGCCACACACGCTCGGAGCCTTCGACAGTACCCTGGAAGACAGCATTAGATTCGTTGGCGCGAGGCTAGGCTATAGGCCTTGAGCATTCACGCACACACTTACCTGGTAGATACATACTCCGTCCTGTCCGTCGCGTGTAGGTATGTGACCAACAGCTCAGTCGATGTGTGGCTCGCGGCCCGTGATGAGCAGAAGACGTGTGCGCCTTAGGTGCTGGAGTTGTGGCTTTTGAGTACGGAGAGCCGTTACAAGGCTCTATCGGATGGACCGTAGCGGATGCCTTCGCAACTCTGGGCACAGGTAGGGCTCATGGCGAGTGCTTAAAACTGACCGGAAAGTCTGCTGCCCAGTTTGTCATCAAACTACTTTGCGGAGCCCATTGACCTGATGTTTGTCTTCGAAATCAACGCCTTGATGCCACGTGCTCGGGTCCTGCACAAGTTTCAACGGATGCTCTACGGGGAGTCTTCAACAAGGTTGTTGCATATTCGACCAAGTTGCAAAGGCATCCCATGACGCGGGTGATGCCGGCACGCCGGGTTCTGCTATACCCGACGTTTGGGCCTAAACCAGAATCAGCTACGATGCTGAGGCACATCTTGGGGCTCGTGTGAGATGTCCGATGCGCGTTTCATGCTTAGGTACGATTTGTCAGATGATCAAATCTCGAACTTCGAGGATCGAATGCTTGGAACTGCAATGTTCTGCATAATTGGATTGCACTTTGCCACTTGCTTCAGCACATTGGCCAGGACCTTGGCGTTTCTGTGCTGCCGGATGATGCCGCTGGAGCCTCGGCGACCGTGGAGCGATCGCCGTCTGTATCAGCTTCGAACCAAGATCCTGAAGCCGCCGAATCCATCGTTTAGAAAGACGCTCGATGAGGTGGCCATGGCCGAACAAGAATGCTTTCGCAGCTGCTCTCTTTCTGCGCAGGCCATTATGCAGAGACAGAGGCGCCTTCAGAGACCCAAGGTGCTTGCAAAGCGCGCTTCGGAGATTGGATTTGCGCCTCTCTTTGGACTTTCGAAGGACAAGTTGCTGATTTTCCCAGCAGATATCCGGCCTAAGACCTAGATACAGTCACCACAGCAAGTTCGAAGTGACAGCGTGTCTTCCAGGCCGATAAAGGGGCAGCTGGACTTCCTCTCGGGGCTGCTCTTCGAAGGGGCCGGCTTCTCGTGGTGGCCCGGTGGCATGGCTGGGAACCTCTGGAGCGAGTGGCGCCAGGCCAGGAAGCCATCCGCCGTCCAGCGCCTGTACGAAGCTAAGTCCGTAGAAGTGCTTGCTGCTTGTGTCCACCTCAGCCCGATGAGCTCTGGAGTTAGGCGCGGGCTCACTATCGTCGTGGCCGGCGGCTGCGACGGGAACCAGACCTACTGCAATGAGGCCACGGCTGTCCTACCCAGACTTCCAGCACGCGATAAAGAGACACGGAGATTGAGAGAGAGCGGCACCACATGCGGGGCGCCTTGAGCACGGGGGCGGGGGAAAAGAAAGAGAGCGGCACGTCTGTCCTTTGTCTGTGCTGAAGAAGAGTCTCGCGGAGTTCTCGTCTTCTTCATTCCGACAGATGGTTCCCGGGCCTTCTCAATGTCCTGCCACGGGAAGAAGCAACTTCAGTCTGTGGCAGGTTAAGGTAGGGTGTAAAATGCTCTTTTCCGAACCTGTGCTTTTTTTGCGGTGGAACGGCGTGCCACATACCCTGCAGAAGGTCGTGACGCTGACGCAGAAGATCAATGCCGAGAAGCTGCTCAATGTCGTCGTGGCGGACCAGCTAAAGGAGTCGGTCTCTCTGCTCTGTCCCTCTCTCTCTCTCGCCTCTCTCTCTGGTTCTCTCTCGTGTGTTCTTTGAAGGACGAAGAGCTTGCACAACTTTTCACGGCTTCCTTGGGAATTGCGAGCTTCTCGAGAGATGTTGCTGACGCGCGTGTTGGGCTGCCTATGCTCTACCATGGAGCTGTAGGTCATGCATTCGGTGATTGACTGCAACCCTCGAGTGATCTACGAGGCAGTTCCTGCAACGCCAGTGTACGCTAGCAGAGCCGGAAGAAGTCACAACCTGTCGCTGCACAGACTGACACCCTGCAAGCGTGTCAGGGGCTGGTCACCGACACCCCCTTCTATGTCACAGAGTCCACCCGCTTGCCGCCTTTGGTCCAACACCTCGGCCAGACCCTTGACAGATGTGACTCGATGTGACTGTGAGATTGACTGGCGGTGCAGCGTGCTGCAAGTCATGCGCGATGCGACCAGGTCACGTCACAGACGGAGACCCAGCAATGGTTGCCGAGCGGCGACTTGGATGCAACTAAAGCACTGCCCAGTGCCATGCCATGGCCTGCGTCGGTTTCTGACAGGTTGGCAGACTTTGTTGAGCTTTGCGAGGCCAATTTGTCACTCAGGCAAGGGACCCTTTTCCATTGTGCAGCCGTGAGGCTGGCGGCTTTACAGGCCGTCCAAGAGAGTTTGCTCGTAGGCACTTGACCGAGGCGGGCACAGTGCAAGGTCTTTGGGTCAGTCCTTTCAATTGCACGTTACTCTGTTGTACAGGCTGATATCTACAGGAAAATGGTAGAGTGGATGGATCAGAAGCGCCATCCTCGGCACTTCATGCGATCAGCGAAATGCTGTGGATCAGGGCATCTTTAGCAGGTGGAGGTTTCAAAATAGGCGACGGATGTGCATCAGTAGGTGTCGGTCAGGTATCTGAGTGGCGTAGAGTCTCAGCCCATCATCCGCGGGGAGGCATCGTTGTTGGGCGGAAACGCAATGTACACGAGTACTCTTCTAGATAGCACTAGCATGAGTTGTGTGTAGGAAGCTCTCGACAGCTTCGGCGGTGGCCTGGGCAACATCCTGGGAGGCACTCGCTACAAGCTCCATGCCGTGATGGCATTCGTGAGTGCTTCAAAGTTCCTCTTACGAGAGAGCCAGGAGCTGGCCTCGGGGGTCTTGGCGGCCTTGGGGCGATGGGAGGCGTGGTCACGATGAAGCGGTGATTCTGCCCCTGACTGCCTGACTCTCCATGTTTTCAGGTGGGACTGCCGCGAAAGGTGGAGCATTCGGAGGAGGGGTTTCGCCTTCGACCCCATTTCAGCCATTGCGCACGGCTACTAGAGACTCATCGGAAGCTGCGCTGGAAATTGTGTTTCCGTCAGAGACTGGAGACTGGAGAGAAAAAGATGTTCTAGCTGCGCTTCTGCTGGAACGATTGCCGGACGCCAGGTGCTGCCGGCGCAGGCTTCTCCATGAAGGACTCGTTCTTCGTCCAGAGCGACACCTTGCTGTTGAGCATGCTGTCTTCACAACTATGTCTGTGTTTGATCGCACGATGTCCGCACAATGGCCCCAACACTCAGCGCAGGAGCCAGTGCGGCGGTAGACACGTCCAGCCTCCCTCTTTCTTGATGCTGTGGAATGCAGTGTGGAAAGCGAATGAAAGCGATGGCAACAAATACATGCATTGACAATATGCGCAAGCCTGTAGTTTAGTCAGAAGAAAACCCGTGCACAAAATGTTGATATGGTTTAACGAGTAGGTTAGGACGTCCGCCGCAAGTGCTGGACAAGTGCACAGAAAAGAGCCTGATACAGCAGCGCTTCCCTGTGATGTCTGAGGGCGGCGCAGCACCGCTTCCACAAATGCGTGCTTGAACAGAAGCTGCTTCAGCGTCTGCGTAGCCCCTTCGACAAAGCGCCTTTGCAATGTGGCGCCCAGATCCAGGACCCTGCGTCGTCTGGAGCTGAGACAACGTGGCACTCCCCCCACGGCAAATCTTTGTGGAACGCACAGCCGAGAGACGCAAGGCACGGGTGGCCGACTGGGGCGAGCATCCAGACGACGTTGAGTGCCCCCTGCCGGCCCGAGCCGAGAAGTCCGTCGTCCTTCGTCCTGTGAGGTACATCCGGCAGCTGAAGGCCCTGCCAAAGAAGATTCTCAAGAGGCCCAGAGCTCAGAGCTCTTATCTGTGGCATGGGCCATGTCAATGGCCTGGATGCGAGTGGCTGTGCGTGCAGGCGTGAGATAGTTGCCAAGGACTCTTGCCTGAAACGGAAGCTGTCATCATTTGGACGCTGACACGCAGACTGACATCAGGACTTGGACATCAAGCGAGTTTGCCAGAAGCAGGGAAAGGTGCGGCGGGACATGTTTGGTACTGGTACTGTGATGCATTTTCTGTTGTCCAGGTCCACTTTTCCGTTGCCTGCTGGAATTTGTCAGAGTACTCTCGCAGTGGCGGTCTAGATGCTCAGGTGCAGACTTGTTTCACCTCGTGCTATTCAAGTCTTGCATCACCACGGCCGTCCTCTGCGCAGAATCCGTGCAGGTTTCCAGCCTGATTCACGTCTTCTATGAGGGAAAGGATGAGCGTAAGGCCGCATCAGGTCCCAGATCGCACGGAAGCATCAGCTCTCCAAGCCCTCTTGTAGGTTCTGAACGTGTTCTCTTCTGCCGGCATTGACCTTGAGCCGAAAGCTTACTGCCTGAACCGACGCTCTCTCTCTCTCTCTCTCTCCCGCTGCAACCGGGCCGAGGTCCGCTGAGGCAGTGCCGGTGGATCCAAACTCGAGTTGTCGCCCTGGAAGCTGCAACGTCAAAGTCCACTCGCCGAGCTGGCTTGTTCGCTGAGGCAAACGCCACGAGCAGCAGATCATGTACGCCAAGGAGTGTCTCTACATTCAGGACTGGGCCGGCCTGCTCGTGCGAAATGTCTCCATACGGTAGACGGCAGACTTTTCCAGGACGAAAACACCTGGGAAGAAGGACAGCCGTTATCCCCCGACGAAGTCAAGCAGAGGCCTCCCATCAAAGTCCTGAGAATTGCAAACGCAAGCAAGTCCGGAAGATTCATGCTCGTTGCATGTGGCACGGCCAGGTTCCAGGGCCGCATGAAGGCATAGACTCGGACATTACCCATTCACCTGAGGCACATGTCATGGACGCGTCTGGGGATGCATACACATTTGTGTCGAAGCCTGCCCCATAGGCTAAAGAATGCTAAGCCAGATAATAAAGCCCGTCACTGCTTCGTAGACTCACTTCTTGTCCTCACGGCCCATGTTCGACAACAGAAGTCTGAGCACGGTATGAACTCGCCCTGAAGCAGCTCTCGGATTCTTCCGAATGCACGGCCTGGAAAAAGAATCGCTGCTTCCATGATCGCTTTAGGCATGTGGCATGCATCCAGAAAATAGGAGACCCCCCACGGCATGTCGGAAGGGTTGGGCTCTGAGAGCAAGAAGCAATACCTTAGTGTCTGAACATGAGGACACGAGGACATCCAGCACTTGTCGGGATCGGTACACATTGTTGACTGGGTTGCCTTGCCGCCCTCTTGCCCTCATGGAGCTCCTTGACAAGATCGTTCTGGACTCAGACTGGCCTCAGCTTGGTGCACTCATGCTTGTGCCCAAAGCTCTTATGCCCTTGTTGGGTCCGTGAACTATTGCCCGTCGGCGCAGCCGAGGCGATCTATGTTGCCATCATCACACCCCTCATCATGGTGTCCAAGCCCATTCTACCGAAGGCCCGGTATGTCAGGTGCATTCTGCCAGCAAACTGATTGAACAAGATCTCAGCTTTGCGAACCTTGCTGCCTGACAGCTTTAAAGGTCTTCTGACGGCAGACCGACATGTGCTCATATTCCGGAAAGTTGGCAGTGCCTGCTGCTTTCACCGGTCTCAGCACTTGTCGCTGGTCGAACCCGTGTCAGGTGGTCTGGGGATATGATTTTCTGCCCCAAATGGCGTGTCATATGCCGGGACTTCAGTAAGGCGCATGCACAGGTTGGTGGCAAGCGTTGCAGCAGCATTTTCAACAAGATAAGGGTGCTTCTCACAAGCCTGTCGACTTTCCAGGTGGTCCTTCGTGATTGCTTGCTTCATCCTGTTGCACAGCGGCGGGGAGGAATGGATGGAATCTTGGTTGAACCGGATCCTAAGCACAGGTGCAAAACAACTTGAGTGCAAACGGGACAACAACGCTTCCGGTGCTTCGCTGATAGCCGTTGACAATCTCGCCAGCAACTTGAGGCGTTTATTTCCTTTGCCTCAGCAATGTTGATCGTCGGAAGCTCGGTAAAGTTCATTGCAGAGACCCAGGATGTCCATGTTTCAGCAGGTCGCCAACTTGGCGACCATGGGATTCTCCCTGGACCTGTCTGCCCCGGCAGTCATCGTCCGAGCTGCATTACATGTTGCACAGTGTCTCTTGCTGGAAATGCTTCTGCTTCTGCATGGCATTGTTGCTCCGCTTAGGTCGCCTTACTCTGGGAGTTCAACTACCTGCTGGAGCGCTTTCAGCCTGAAGCTAAATCGGAAAAGCACTAGATTTGTGCCTCGGCGGCCGCTTGACAGCTGTCTTGCACTCAGGTAGGGGCCCGTGAGTTCTCACGCACTGAATTGTTTGCTATACTACTGGGGACGAGCCTCCAATTTTCGCGACTTGAAGGCATAGACAATGGTTCTATGGTGTGAGTTTCCCCCTAATCTGGTGGCCTGCCGGTAGAGCCCTGTAGAGTGCGCGCAGATGTGCCTTCGAGACGACGAGGCCATGGGCCTCAGACATGTACGGAGGTTTCGGCTAAGAAGAGTATTGAGCATCCTCCTCTCGACAGCACATGTGAGCCGATTGTCTCGGGCGGGAAAACTGCAGTCCACGTGCTTGACCTGTCACAGAGCATTGTACGACTTGAATCATTGAGTCGGTGCAATGACATTAGAAGCTTGACTTCGCCGCTCTCAAGGTGCTTACATCAGAGACAGGATTTTGAATTGGATATACAGCGCAGGCTCTTTGCCAGACTCGGTTGTTTCGAGTAGTGTCAAACAGGGGAGGGTGCGCTCACAGCAAACATGGAGCTGGTGGACAAGATGGCCGCCCTGAAGCATGGAGTCTGTCCAACGCACTGAAACCGGAGACTGCCCTCAAAATGCATGCGAGGCGATCTATGTCGTGGTGATTACACCAGTCATCATGCTGTCCAAGCCTATTCTGCCGAAGGCATGCTGCGCGGTGCTAGCAGTACAACTTATATAACAGAAGCAGATGAGGGTGTGAGACGGAGAGAAAGACAGCTGGAGCGGGGGGTAGGCGTTCCCTTGCTCCTTTGGGTGTGTGGAAGAAGCGCTTGTTAGCTTACGGTGCATCACAGGTTGTTTGGGGATACGACTTCCTGCCCCAGATGGCCTGCCACATGTCAGGTGCCGAGCACCCATAGCAATGCGACAGATGCATGTAATTGCTTTTGAATTCTTCGCGGGCCTGGTTGCTGCTAAGTACACCTGCGCGAGATCAGGTGGTCCTTCGTCATCGCTTGTTTTATCCTGCTGCACAGCGGAGATGATTACATGGAGTCTCGCCTGCACGTTCTGAGTGCTTCTGCGAGCCGGGCTCTACACGAGAGGTGACCCAAGCAGCAATGGAGTCACGAGTTGCAGTCCTCTTAGCCCTTAGCAGTCTCTGCCATTCCAGAGTTGAGGCCCTGATCTCTTTTGCCTCGGCTATGCTAATCGCCTTGACCTCGGCAGGTCTGATCTCAGCTTAAACACAATCCAGCTGATACTCTTTGTAGCCCCACCGCCTGGTTCCTGTGGGACATGCACAAACGAGGTCGCAAATTTGGCCACCATGGGATTCTCCTTGGACTTGTCCGCCCCAGCAGCCAGCAGCCCAAGAGCCTGAGAGCGGCCTTGGCCATTCCCTTTGTGGTCCTTGGTCTCGACCGAGGTGGCACTTCTCTGGGAGTTTTGCTACCTGATGAACCGCTTCCAGCAGCTGCCGTAGTGCTGCGCAATTCTGGAGAAGTCATCTATTTTCGTTTGTTACCACGCTGGGCCTGAGGTGACATAGATGCTGTGGTTGACAGCGCCTGAGAACTGACCAGCGGTCTCCAGAACTTGGAGAATTTTCTGGCCAACGCACATTTAAGTTTTCACTTGCTGCAATTCTGAAATAAAGTATCGGCGGAAGTGGCAATGATTCTACTCGTATGTTCATATCGCTGAAGACTTGTAGATGAATCATCGATTCATGAATGGCTTACATCCTGCTTGGCCTGGACCTCGGGATGCCTCTTCTTAGATACTATTGAAGAGGGTACCTGCCGATGCTTGCGAAATCGATTGATATCGATTCTCAATCAGCGAAGCCAACGCTCATATCCACGAAAAAGAATTAACGTTTTTGTTCCGGCAGGCACATATAATAACTATATAGAGATAATCTATTTAATATAATCTAAAATGAAAAATAGAAATTCAATTAAAATAATTATCTTCGAGAGAAGAATAAGATAATAAATAATAAAATGAAATCTGATAATATTAATCATTATATGCGACTATTAAAATTGGAATTATAGATTCATAGAAAATGGTGATAGAAAATATTTATTTTAGTATTTAATGATTTTCTGTATCTCATGCATAATTGATATTTCGGTCATATAAGTTATTTGCGTCTTCTGTAGAAAAAAAATTATATATATATATATATAGTCAGAAATTTCTGGGTAGATGATCATATTAATAAATAATTACGATATATATATGATAAAATATTTATGATATGAGAAATATGAATGATTTTAGATTAAATAAGTAATATATTATAATTGATTTAGATAAAATATATTAGAATTCTTAATTTTTTTTATTTATAAATATAATAAAGTAAAAATTAACAGTAACATAATTAAATTTAATATAAGATATTTATATAATATGTAATCGATTTTTAAAATTATACTAATTTCTGAGGCTCAAGCTCGAACTAGAATATGATTCGACTTTAATTTATTTATTTCGGAGATATTGGACTCCTAAATATATTTCGTAGATAATACCTTCTTAATGGGACAGTAAAGGAAGAAGAAAAAGAGAGAAAGAATAGATACAGAGATATGGAATTCGAAAATAAATAAAGATACGAATCGAAAGGAGATTTCAAAAGATATAGGTCCTTTCGGAGCAGGCGTAAAGATGGATTATGGATCCGGCGAGTTGGGATCGGATGCCTCTTCTACAGATAGCTAGCTTTTTCGGGAAGATCTTGTTCTGGAGGAATCGCCTAGCGAAGGCCGGGCGAATGGTTTCTAGATTATTGTAGAAGATATAGGTGATGGTCGCCAAGGAGTGGGGGTCGTTAATGATATTATCAATAGCGAGCCGAATTCCGCCGGGGATGACGAATTAGATCCTCGCCATAATGACCCCGAAGCAGCCACCACTCCGCCAAAGCAGGTCGTTACCAGTTGACCACGGACGTGCTCGCACAGAGTCTAAAAACTCAGGAGCTATTCCAGAATAATGGCGGTTGCAGACACAGAGGGTCCCAGCCTTCTAGGCCGGAACGAAACGAAGATGATCTCGAAGGAAAGGGCAGGCGAGCTCCAGATACGGCGCCTGCAAATAAAAGAAGGACTTTCCCTAAGGGAGACAATAATTACGAGTCGAAGGGGGATCTAAAAGGAGATAAGGACAAGGGAAATATAAAGCTAGGTTCCAAGAAGATCGACTATAATGGTTATCTGGCTCAAGGCCTGGCCCAAGGTTGGGTCCGCGGCGGTAGTCGACCTATGGGACTACCTCCCCGACAAAGCTCCGGGATGCTTTGGATCGCTCTCGTGCATATCTTCTCCCGGAGATGGAGCTCCTAGACAGGCACCGAGGGTCGAAGGTGAGAGCGTCGGAGCAAGAATAGCACAAGATAATGAAATCCGGCTATGACCGAAGAATATTTATATCAGTCAAAGATAAAGATACGCCACGGGTCGCCAACGATGCCATAAGACTTTTGCCGGAGGCCCAAGACAAGCTCCCCTATATCGGTCAACTTACCGCCTTCTTGTGGACAAAAATTCCTACTTGGTCCTGGATTCGGAGGACCTGCTTCGGCTTTCAACTTGTTCCGCATACCGATGGACTGGGCCCGATATCCAGCTTCGCTCAGAAGATGTGGGGGGACGCCCCGGGGGGGGTCGCCCAATATGATGCTCAGGCCGGCCCTTCATAGTAGGCTGGATGAGGGTCACGGCACTGGTCCAGCCCATGGGGACCTTTCCGGTGTCAACCGGTCCGAATCCAACCCCCCGGAGCTAGCGTCCAGCGGAGCAATGACGGGGCCGTACTTGGACAACTACAATGAGATCAGGCACCTCGAGATCGAAAGCGACGCCGGCCAGCCCTCGCCTCACCATATAAAAGTTTATCGAGGCCTGCAAGCTTCTGGGCTTGCCCAGAAATGAGGTTGAGCATCCTTGTCAACCGCACCATGCCAGAGCACTGCTTGAGGCACTGGACCGGAAAGGTCGCCTTCCCAGCCGCGTTCCGTAGGCCAATCTATTCTATTTTGCAGGAAGTATTGGTGTTCGCCTCGCTTCTGGCCATCACAAAGACAGACCTGTCCTCTGAAATCTCTGGAAATTAGTTGTATTGCCCACAGGGGGCGGCTGCTCGATGGCCTCCGAAGGCAAGGAAAAGTTCTTGATCCTCCCGGTCCCGATCACGGGCGAGAATTTCTACAAAGGAAATAAATGAGCTCATGTGGCCAATTTACCCGTTTCCGTGTCGGGGGGAACTTTCGGTGCTGCTCCCTTTCTTGCACGAGATCCAATGGGGAGGCATGCGTCTGTAAGTGGCGGCACTCTCCGTCTTTTGGAGAACGTTTCTATGGAATTCTTTTTTGATAAAGCCGACCGTCCTGAAAGGAATCTCCATATAACCTCCGCTGAATTATGACGTGGCGGGGGACCGGTAGGACCTATGGACCGAAGCAGGAAAAAAATCAGACTGGATGAGGTAGAAGCGGATGGAGACTTGATATGATCTTATTGGTCTCCCTCTCGAATCACCTTCCTTATTGGCCGGTGCGCGGGCTACTTTGACTGGCAAGGCAACTGGGTCGATGGGGCGACCAAGCTTCGAGATACCGAAACTGAGGCAGCACTTGAAAGTGATGGAGAGACAGGCCAGCGCGCCAAGAAAGCGTAGCCAGGGACCTTGTCGAGGCAAACTGCAGGGGGCGATTCGCCTCCCTCGAACACCCCTACAACTCGTACTTTTGGAGCCTCCCGGAAATCAAAGCTCTCCACGGAGAAGTGGTATCATTCGAGATTTTCGACATTCTGCCATGGAAGCCCTAGGGAGTCATGGCTATACGTTCTGCACAACTCCGTCTCGCTCCATGCAGTCCTCCACCGCCCGCAGTGCGACGGCCACTCTCATCTTGATGCTCCTGTGGAAGAAGAGGAGGATGAGTTCTCGGAGTATCCCTGGGCACTTTGTCGGGGATCTATGATGAGCTCAATTCCCTCTACTCCGAGCCCTTTGGCTCGCTCCCTCTCAGTCTTGAGCAATTTCTTCATCACCAGCTACAGGGAGCTACCAAGGGCTTGCAGCAACAAGTTGCAGTGAGCTGGGCAATATCTCAGGGCGCGACCGCCCTAGGCAACATGGATGCAGGGAAAGAAACGGAGCACCTGATTTGGCTCCTACATCACGCATACCATATCGGCTGTGATGTCAGGGGGAGATGATATCATGAGACATCGTCCCGGACCCTATCCGACCTTTCATTGGCACTAGAAAGATGTTCTCTCCTACAAGCTGGAAATGACGACATTCCTATCCGAGCTTCGCCGGCCGGCGAGCACAGAACATGGCCGAGCTCGGCAAGCGGTTCTTCTACATTATCGACTCGCTGATCTCCTTCTATAAGATTTAATAGAGTGAGCATCACCATCCTCTCCCTCGCGTCTGGCCTGATCCCCGTGAGCCTGAGGACTATAAGCAAGTAGAGCTTCTCCGATGGTGTGTCGAGGAAACTTGAAGCGTAATGAGCACGTGCGATTCTTGGGGATCACGGTCAAAATCAGACGGTCGTATGAGAATGCGTCGACGGTTCTATTTCAAGACTTGCACGCCCAATGGGACAGGCTGCCTCGGATAATGGCTGAACTGGATGATGAGCTTGCAGAGTATATCAATTACCTTCACCAGGAAGATGATGCAGTGATATTGGCGGGCTGGACTTCCCGTGCTGCAAGCCCCATTTTTTGACTTCTCAACTATTTCTCTGAAATTGGCAACGGGTCCATCTGACCCAGAGGACCAATTCAATGACGTGGTTGGGGGCCAGGGCCATGGCTGGCGCGGCCTACAAGGACGGATATCTCGATCTTATAATATCTATATTTTGGGGATCGACTTTCTTCCTGCGGACTATAGAGCTTTCTTTAACGATTGGGCACCTCTATTTCTTCCCGGAAGAAGGCTTTATTATTACTATCATCATTAATTCAATGGTTTTTTATGGTCTATAATAATCTCTCTTTTTAAGAGAGCCAGGTCTCGTGGCAGCTATTTCTTTTTTTTTAGACCGGGAACGCCCGGGCTCCCTTCCGTACCCTCACTCGGTGGCTGCTTTCCGCGGGGAGTCTGGCTGCCTGATGCGCTTCACTGGCTTCAATCCTCCGGATTTCTTGCCTTATCCGTTGAGGCGAGGAGGCGTCACGGAATACCAGCAGTGCATCCAGAGCCTTGGCCATATCCAGATAAAAGGAAGATGGAAAGATTCTTAAATAGCCCATATTTCTATCGATAATGATCAGATTATATTGGTGCAACTTCCTCTTCTCCCGCCCACTTCCGCCTATCAGTTGTCTGTGGCTTCTATATAATGAGTGGCTGAGCCAGGATATTGAACCTGAGCGGGACAGTTGGCAATTGGAGGTTGGCATATAATAACGTGAGCGGAAGATCGTTCTACGGGAGACAGGCCTACGGGTCAGAACTGGCACTGTTCCGTAAAATCTAATTTCATTTCGCAGCGCGCCAATTTTTGATTTCTTCCAACTCTTTCGGGAAAAATGTCGCTGCACTATGAATACCTTCAGTTCCCAGCGCAATGTAGCCCGTGCTTTTTCATAATCGGACTGTATATATGCAGCAATTTCCATGATTCGTCGCCTCCTCCCCGCCACCGCACATAACAACGTGAGCGGAGGATCCTCCTGCAGGAGAGAGGCTCATGGGTCAGAATTGGCGCTATTATAAAATATAAATTCGCTTCGCAGCGCGCCAATTTTGATTGCTTCTAGCTCCTTCAAAACAAATATCCTTGCACTATGAAAAAAATATAATGATTTGCTCTGAATATATTCGAAATTCTGATACTCTAAAAATTTTATTTGTATTATATCTTAATAATTCTCTAATAAAATGGTGCCTTGCTGGTCACCTCCATTTTTCCATCGTCTTTTGGTAAGCACCCTCTTGAAAACCTCGTTTCAGAAATTTTAATATCGGGGACACTTCTAAATTTTGGTAGCTTTAGGAAATCTCGCGGCATTAAAATTTCAGATTTTTGGTAGCTTTAGGGGGATATGCTCCCGAAATTAAAATTTCGAAATTTTTGGCAGGCATGCTCGTGGTCATAAAATTTCGAAATCAGTTCCGGGAGATAGTCATGCAAGAGATTTTCAATAAGAAACACGTCCCCGATTTTAGGACTGTTAGACAAGCAAGCAAGAGGCTTTCAACAGGAACCACGTCAGGATTTTGGTTCCGCGAGCTCCGGTGCCGCGCGATCTGAATGCAGGTGACTATGCGTTTCTCTTTGCGGGTCTCTGTCCGTCTTTTCGTCTGTCTATATCTGTCTATATATCTCTGTCTATTTATATTTATTTATCTATATCTATCTGTCTCTGTACATCTCCTTTATTTCATTTATCTATCTGCATTTCTTTGATTCTATTTATCTATCTTTCTGCCCCTATCTATCTATTTCTATATGAAAGGAAATTATAGTTATTTAGATTTGAATATTATAAATATATATTTGAAATTGATTTATATTTGAAAGTCTATTATTATTTCTGGATCTGCTCCTGATCGCTCTCTATTAATTTTCTTATCCTATTCCCTCCCTATTCTATATATAATCGCTTCCCTCATTTATTAAAGATCCCCATAATAATAAAAATATAATGGCACAAATCCACCCAGAATTCGCCGAACTCTTCGTCTTTTTTTAGGGCTCTATCTGTGCGAACCTGACTATCCGGCTCGATAAAAGATAGAAATAATAAATTGTTTGCTTGTCTCTGGGTTTAAAGCTAATTAAGGGTTTAGGGTAGTATGGTTATATCATTAATGGATATTAGTAATCGCCGATTTCTGAAAAAGTTTAGGAATCGTAGCAGATATCCAGGAGTCCGGCACGGGCCAAAAATTTGAATCTTCGTATAAGCAGCGATATTGGAAATCATTAATTTCTAGTCAAATTTAAGAATCGTCTCAAATATCCAAGAATCTATCTTTAATTTAATTATTAAGTTAATAATTACTAAACCGAAATCTAATAATAGCGATAAGAATACCTTCTAATTATAAAAATAGATTTTGAATATTTTTCAATATTTAGGGGAAGAAATTATATTTACTTCTTCTTAATTTTCCGATATAATATCGCTTGACCTTATCAATATTATCAATTATCTAGTTACTTCTATACGAACTCGCGAAATATTTTAAAATTTTTTGACAAAAATAAAATCTATATCAAATTTTTATGAGATCTCTAATATTTCTATCTAATATATTTTTTAATAGAGAAGACATAATAGAATTCGATATTATGCTAAGAAAATATCAATTATATAGAAATTATATATAGAAATTTAATTAATTTTAATGAATAAAATTCATTTTTAATAAATATTTCTAAAAATAGAGACGAAAATAGAAATTTTCATATAATTTTTGGCATATAATCAAGTCTCATAAAATATTTAAAAATTCTCTTCATCGTTATATTTCGAAATCATAATTATTTAAATAAATAATGAACCTTTTTTGCCTTCTAATTCGTATTAATTCGATTCTATATTACCCACCTATATATCTACCATATACCAATTCAAAGACTCGAATAAATAATCCTTCATGTATATCTAGATTCCGACAACTTCCAATAAATCATTATTTATAGATAGATATAAATTATTTTCCCAGAATAATATTCATTTTCAGAGCTCATGATATTAAATGATTTCAGTGAGCTTGAAAATCCAATATAGCCCCCAATAATAAATCTATTCTAATAATTTTTGCTTATATATAAACTTGATTATAATATATTCAATAATATAATAATTTCAATTTCGAATAATTGTATTTCGTAATTATACCGTTAGATAAATGTACAGAAGCATTCAAAAAGAAATAAATCAAAATATCAAGTAAAAGGAGAGCAGGAACCCGCCAGAATGAGTGATTGCCATCGGGGTGGTGGCAGGTGCCAATCATACCAACGATGATCTGGAGTGCCCACGCGTCGTCGGCGCCGGTATTCGTCACAACAGCCTGCGTGGTAGTGATTTCCATCTCGCCGGCAGCGCCGACAAGATGCACCATCAGACACGCCGCTTCAGGGTTCGTCGTGATCAAACTCGTCATCGATGACATCGCTGGCTTCATGCCTGAGCGCTGCCACTGCGCCCCAAAACCTTTAGCCCGTCACTGTCGTCACCCGCAACTGGAAAACGCTGAGTGCGACTGGGTTCTGCATGCACGTCCACTGGCATCGCAAGCAGCAACAGGAGAACCTGCAAGAGAAATGGCTGCCATAGTCGTGATAGGTGTGAAATTTGTTTCATCCAAGTGCATGCCTCCTGGCCTCTAAAGCTCAAACAGATTGGGAGAACTTGGGAAACTTCCATTCCAGATCTTCCCGACCCCTTCGTTTCGGGAAAACTGCTAAGTCTACCCAGGCGAGATTTCGGTAGTCTCTAAAAGACACGACGCCCATCGATGGCCTCTGCGGTCTGATAAGCAACAGTGCATCAAAGCCGCTGAGCAAAGCTTCATGGAGCGGGTCAGGCGGGTCGCGAGGCGAGCTGTCCAAGGTTTTGGACTTTGCTGGACCAAATATCACCGCCGGTGTTCACGTCCAATTGATCGGCATATATTGTCCAAGAAACCTTCAACCTTCAAACTTCCTCACTGGCTTGCGATCTCAAATCCGATCTATCTCAGCACCTTCCGATCCTTCAGCATCTCCTACACTACACGTGGATCTCCGAGATGGCACCCCGAAATGAATGTCGTCTTCTCGGGGCCTAAAACTTCTCCATGCGGAACCCAAACTGCCCTACGAACAGATCTCGAGATACTGACGAGGCTGGTGCATGCTCTTAGAACACCATACATCCCAGGTCTATTTAGATCGAGAGAGCTCCGCTTCGGTCCCGTAGAGTGATCCTATTTTCCTGCTTCGTACCAGAGTTTCTTCGAGATAGATACAATACAATTTTCTTCATCGGCCGGCTGGAGATTTATGATGCCTTACACAAGCAGACCAATGGTTTCTTTCCCGGTCAAAAGCAAGCCTGAGCTTGAAGCTCTGTTGCTCGAGCATTCTCCGCATTTCTCCGCAATGATGCTCCGAAGTTAATTTCGGCATGGCGGGTGCATTTGCCTGGAATCGTGCAGGGTCCATACATTTCAGCTTTTGAGGTCAAGGCTTTGGTGCGCTGCAGCCCAACATGCAACCTGTGCAAGCTGAAATGCGGCCTTCTTTGTGGCCGGGCTTGACTGGTAATCAATTTTGGGCCTCCATCACAGATTGGAACTGCAGTCGGTCTTGCATGGGCATTTCAATTCGCAGCGTTCATGCCTCACGGCCTCATGGTACGGGCAGCCAGTGGCTGCTGCACGCTACTCAAGGGGTGCAGGACGCACTTTAGCGCACCATGCCCATTCAAGGTTCGTGCAGCTACCACTGGCTGTCGAAGCTCAAACTTTGAGCCGCACCGCACTTCCAATCCACGCACGAAGGCCAGCTACGCTCTGAGCTCCGAACCCAACTATGCAGCTCACATGGATACGGCAGTGGTAGCGGTGGCAGGCGAAACCAATCGAGGCGCCTTGGTCTTATCCGCTTCAGTACTCTTCTTCTCACGCCGGTGCTTTCAGAATCAAGCTTTGCAACATGCCATGTCAATGCGACACCTGGATCGATGAGATTCGCACCACAGCTTGCTGCGGCAGTCGACATGCGAATTGAGCCTTGCAGACTATGACGGGTGCTGGCATCGAAAGAACGCACTCCAAGAACTGAGCTACCTTCACCTCCAGGTGGGAAAGTCTGGGCAGGGACGGAAGTGAAAGGGACTTTCTGGCTATGCTGGTGTGTACGGTGTGTCAGAAAAGAAGCAGAGTATCGGGTGAAGCTTGAGGGATCTGATAATATCTGAAACCTTTAGCCAGCGCTGCTGGAGCTGCAACTGCCCGGCGGTCAACCTCTTGTCTTACACTCCATCCTTACATTCTATCCATCATGGTGTCAGGCAGCCACAGGAGCTGATGCGGCCCCAGGAAATGAAGCTACCTGAGATTGTGGGAGCGTCACGGGGTCATTGTTCTCTGCCAGGCGCATTCGCCTGAGGGGAAGCCGGCCGCATTGCCGTCAGCACCTGCGCCAAGCGAGCATCTCGCATTTCATACGCAATCGTTGCGCCGATCCCAAGGCGCCCAAGGCCTGGGGAGGCGAAAGGGGCCGCTGCTGAGATGCCTCCGGTCGAACTGCGCCAGTGCGGAGCGCGGACATTGCTTTTAGGTGGACCCGTCCTGCGTTGGAGACACAGCCCGCGGAGCGGAAACGACCTGCACAGAGAAGTTAAACTGTCTGGAAGCTCTCCCGAACACTGTGATCCGTGCACCCGGTATGGGGAGCTGCTGCGGCCCGGTAAAGCCTGAAACGAGAGTGATCAGAGCAACATGACTTTTTGAGTGGTGCTGTGTAGCTCGGGCTCAGGGAAGGTTTCTCGCAGAGAGGTTCGAGATGTGGTGCTTGGATGTGCTTGGGAAGCTTCGGGCTTGAGAAAGGTTGGGAGCTCGACGTTGGTTGCAGCTTTCAGTGGAATCACGGGCCAAAGTCGTAACCGTAAGGCCGGAGTGTTTAAGGTGAACTCAGGATCAGTGTCTGGTGCTCGTGCTGTTCGGGTTCGCGTTCAGGCTCCTGGGTTCTGTTTAGTAAATGCTTCGCTGCATCAAAGCCAAAAGTCTGTGGTGCTGTGCCTTTCTAGCGGTCTTGCAATCGTGCCGTGCGTCGTTAAACCTGAAGCATCGACATGTCGACTCCAGAGTACAGAACTCATGTCCTACCCCGGCGGCTACTTTAGGCCTGAAACATCCTGAAACACTCATAAACCTGCTGGTGCACACCTGCTGGAGGTTTGCCGGCGGCGGCCATGCGAATGCTGCAGAGCCTGGCCTCTGCAGGAGTGATAAGAATTGACACAGAGGAGCCGTAGTCAGAGTCATGACAATAAGGACTGGTACCCAAGAAGCAAACATAAGCTCATGACGATTCCTATATATTCTGTTGGTTCGAGTACTTGCTTTTGGTGATCTGCCCCTGCTAGCTTTGTTCTTGATCTCATGGCATCCCTGAATTGGAACGAAGCACGGCAGAACAAAAATCGCAGCGATACTACGCAGCCATCTTCCACGCGCGCACCGGTGATCGTGGTGCCCATCCTACTCAATCCGTGCGTCTAAACCCCTCAGGCATAACAGCCATTAGCAGCAGAGCATGTCCAGTTGTCCGGCAGTGTATTTAAGCATTGCGATTCGGCTTGCTGTTTTTTTCGAGATGGACAGCCGAGAGCCGCGCGTGCCGAAAGGGCTTGTAGAGCGCGGCGAGCCGGGCGGCGACATGCCTCTTGCAAGTTCAACTCAGTTCCCGGAACGAGCCCAAGTGGGCAGTCGCGGGCCTAGCCGTTCCGTCTGAGTCGACATCCTTCGGGAAACAAAAGAGGAACCTTCATCCAGTTGCCTACAGGACCGCGGGCCGCGGGCCGCCAAGCAGATCTTCCCAGAATGATTTCTAGCTGGCTGGACTTAAGGTCGTCGGTCAAGTCCTCTGCGCAGGACGCAGGGACTGGGCAGCAGAGGAGGGTGTACCGTAGCCGCCGTAACCTGCCACCAAGGCGGATTGAATTGTTTGTGTAGCATTATAATTTATAATGGCCGCTCTAGTGTAGTGAAGTCCATGCTGTACGGACATGTCACTGCAGACGCCCGTGCATCAAAACTCCAAGATCTAAGATGGGCTCCCGGCCCCCAAGATGAATCTTGCAGTGTGTATGTATTGGAAGTGTCCAATGTTGCCCTTGTCCAAACAAGTGGTGCATAAACATTTCTTTCAGTCCAGCTCTCGTGGATCGTTGAACACTCTTCACTTCTCCGGCCTGCTGCGGATGATGGTGCGACAGATGGCACGCCCTGCATCTGAAAACCGTGATCAGTCACGTGGTCGTGTGAACCGAACACCAGGGACGCCCATGCAGCCAGTCATGCGCGAGTCGATTCCCTGCAACCTTCCTCATGTTAGGAAGAGGCTCTGAGAATGTGGCAAAATCTTGGCTCGCGGCTCCGGCGGATCGGCGTGGAGGACTCCTCGAGTCTTCGAAGGCACCGACGTCTCGTTCCGACATCGATGTGCTCTGCAGTCTTTGCGCGTCTGGCTTCGAGGATTCAAACTCAAGCGCAAAAGTTTCGGATCTCCTCGCGTCACCATTCGCTCTCCGAGACTGCGGACTTGGCGAGCCTTGGACCAAGATTTTGCAAAGGCACCCTGGCTTGTGGAAGTGCTTCTGCTCGTGAGACGTCGTCGTCCAACTTCATTTCCGGTCTTGAGCGTCTGAACGGCATCCGAAACGGACTGTGTGAAATCAGGGACCGTGAAAGCTCCCACCTGTCTGCTTGACCCCACGTCATGTCACTTTGTTTATTTACTCCTGTTGTTCTACGAAGAAAATCAACAAGTCTTGTCTTGTTGTGTTACAAGGCAACTTCTCGACTTGAGGGCGGGCTTCCTCTCCGAGCTCAGCTCTTCTACCGCACCTATGCTGATGGTAAATTATGCCATAATAATAATGCTTGACAGACTAACAGGTGTTCGCCTCAGCTACAGCAGCCACAGCGGTCTCACAGAAGAGCCTGCCCAAGCTTCGGACGGCTGTCACCACGCCCGGACTTGAAGGTGAGATCGACAAGCTGCTTCGGACCTGCTTTTGTTCACAATCTCTCGGAAGGACAAGAAGCCCTCAACCACAGTGGCTCATTCTCCCTCGACCCTCGATGCCGCCTGGCCATGTAGTCATCATGTTTCTCAATCTACTTGCGCCATCAGCCTAGTTTGACGTCGGAGGCCTTTCCCAACGCCAGCTTGCCGGATGCAATGCTAATCCGTCAGCAACAAGAGCTTGCAACCCGGCTTTCACTCTGAGACTCAATCGTGGACCTACGTCTTTCCTCCTGCTTGCGCTGTTGGATTCTCCTTAACCTGGACATGCAGCTGGGCTTCTGGGTTGTGTCGCACTTAAAAGGTGTCTTGCTCGCGGCTGGCAAAGATCACTGCTGAAGTGTTGAGATCCTCGGTTGATCTATTCCATTTGGAACGTGGTCGTTCTGCTAATTCGGAATGTCTCTCGACGTGGGTTCTCATCGACCAGCTCTCCAACTCTGCTGCCCTGCGCTTCGTCGCAGAGGCTCCCGTTTTTCATGCGCAGCTCATGACCCCGATCCAGGGACCCAAAAACTTCGGAGTTCTCATTTTCACACAGAGGCATTGCAACGTCTCAAAACCCGGCACTGGGATGCACTGACTCTGCTTCAGCTCTTCCCTCGGCCCGCTTGCAGCGCCTGTGTAGACGCTCAGCGGCAGGCTAAAGAGAAACTGTGGCTCTGGTGGCTTTAGCCTGGCAGGACGTGGTGCCCACGTCACACACTTTCGCGTCCGAGTATCATGGGATTCT